AAAAAAAAAAAAAATTAAAAAAATAATAAAAGAATCAGTGCAATACCCTAATTTAAGGAAGAAAATCTAGTTAAAGAAACAGATCCTAAAAATTGGGTTTTATATTCATCCATCTGTACGGCAATTTTTTCAGTGTTCTGGCCAATGTTCCACTACTATCTAAAGTTTACGATGCTGAAGATCTCAAAAGTTTCTACCATTTTCTGAAGGGACTACCATCTCAACGATTCCTCTAACAAAAGCATCTGACAAGCTTTAGCAGTTTCGAGATATCACTAATTTGTGCTGAATTCAAAAGTTGTAGTCCACTACTAGGGTAATATAATTTAACACAAACAGGGCGTGAAATTTATTAAAATAGATACTAAATTTTGCCAGAAAACCCCCTACAAAACAGAAAATGACTTGCAAAAAAGTGATTAAAAAAAACGAAATTTGGGTAAATAAAGAAAGAATATCGAAGACAACGCAAAAACTGGACGCGCTCTGCTTTGCTGGAAGCTGAGTAGCGCATGCCATGCCAGAGTGTAAAAAGTTGAGCTGCTTTCAGAGAATTCTGAATTTTTTCCAAAGAATCTGCTTTCTTTGCATGAAAAACTCTTTGTTGGCCAAAAAGATTTCCACAAAGGCGGGAATTTTTCCAGAAATTTTTGAGCGGTCAGTGAATGCCCTTTTTTTACACACCATTTGATTGATGATTGTAAGCACAGATGAGGCACAAAGAGACCAGCGGTCACAAAACGAAAGACGAATACCCCCTAGTAGTGACCTTGTGGAAGGAAACCCGGAATGGGAAGCTATGGAGAGGCAAAGGAGAAACTCAAAATGTCCATCCAGTGCAAAATGGACAATGAAAACAAGCAAACTGAACTGTCATTTTTGCGAATAACAGATCAATGAACCTCAAAAGACCTTGAGGACACTGACCGCTACAAATCGCCCCACCGAAAAAAAGCCATTTGTTGATCTAATGCGATAAATTTTTGACAAAAATATCAAACACAGGAAGAGGAAATTCCACAGCAGAACTGTTGTTGCCCCGTAAGTCGAGGGTTCAACTAAGCCAGTAAAAACCACTAATCGTGTGATTTGTTGATTCGTTTTGATGGTAAACGTATATTAGGAAATTAACACCGTCATCTGCTTGTTTGTAAGCAACTTTTGAAAAGGGAGCCTTTGACAATCTTATCAATGTCTTGGTTGCTGCTGGCATTTGCTAACACTTGAGCTGATTCTCAAAAGAGGGGGAATCGGAGGTATTGACTTTTTTTAAAAACAGAAGACTGTGCTTGCTAATGAAAGTGAAATTTAAATTCCGAATTTTGAAGTTTCAAAAAATTCGAGAATTAAGAAACAACTTTCATTCTCCAGTAGCAGTACTTGAGGAAATTATGCGTTTTATCAAAAACCTAAACCCTTTCACGTTTCTCCTCCTCTAAGACATCAGAATACTCCGCAAAGTGCGAAAAGCTGTAATTTATCAGCAGCATCTACAGCTGACAAGACTGTTAACAGTTTCTTCTGTTAACAGTTCTTGCGATTTAAGCTAAATGCAGTTTGGCGTGTAACACATCCAGTACTAATTCCTCTTGAAACAAGCCACAGAAGTGGAGAACTGGGTTTTCTACTAGGAGATTCGAACCAGCTGGCACTTCGGAGGAGGCTTTCGTCGCTACAGCTAAAAGCCTGGCATTCAAGAATCCAGAAAAGGTGACACTCATTTTTCCAACGTGAATTATTTGTCGCATCCAAACGTGAGATTGTAAAATATCTTACCACAGTATTTTCAAATCTCCAAAATTGGTAACAAAAGAACAAAATCTTACTTGCTTCGCTCCATGCAACCTGCACTTCAGACATCGGCGGAGGTGGTGGTGGAGAACTTGGCACAACATCATCCGATGGTGATCTGTTACCAGCACTTGGCCAAGGATCAGCTGGCGAAGACCTGCCCGATTTCTCGCCGGACCATGCATCGCCGTCGTCAAAATCGCGATGTGGCCGTCGAAATCCTCCTCGATCCCCTTCTCGGTCTCCTCCTCCTCCTCTTCTTCCACCTCGTCTATCTCCACGCCGACCACCTCGAAAACCTCTTCCGCGTGATCTCTCCCCTTCTGAGCCCCATGGACTGTCGTCTCTGCTATCGGAAGCACGGCTTGGTGCTGGCCACAAATCATCTTTATCTCCTTCTCCTGCGCGCGGACTGGTGCTTCGCCTGGATCGCTTCGGTGGCACCGATTCATCATCACTATCTGCTCTTTTGCTGCTTCTTTTGGAATCCCCAGAAGGCCAGAAATCATCGTTATTTCCACTATCACTTGCTGCTGGCCATGAGCTTTTTCTGTCGGCACCTGAATCGCCACGTGACCAATAATCATCTCCCCTTGAATCATCATCGCGTCTTCTCGGCTGCCAGTCAGAATCGCCACGATTTCCACCACCACCACGTCGTGGCCTTCTGTCGCCACGTCTGTCACCAAAACCGCCGCGTCTTCCACCGAAATCGCCGCGTCTTCCGCCGAAATCGCCGCGTCTCCCACCGAAATCACTGCGTCTTCCACCGAAGTCGCCGCCGCGTCTCCCACCGAAACCACCACCACTGCGTCTCTCTCCAAAACTGCTGCGTCTCTCTCCAAAACCACCACGATTTTCACCAGAATAATCTGGACGATCATCACTGGTAGCGCTAGAAGCCCAAGTATCAAAACCACCATCATCCTTCTTGTCACCGCCAGATGGCTGCCACGTATTAAAATCATCATCACCACCACCACTGCTCGATGATGGCTTGCCTGCATCAAAACCGCTACCACTTTGCTTATCACCTCCTCCGCCTGGTTTCCAAGCATCGAAGTCATCGTTGTCCTTTCGGGCATCACGCGTTGGCTTCCATGCATCAAAACTATCACCGCCTTGCTCGGCATTTCGCTCAGACGATTTCCAAGCATCGAAACTATCACCACTCCGTTTATCAGCTCCGCCTGGCTTCCAAGCATCAAATCCACCATCACTGCCACCTTTTGCACTTCCTGGTTTATAAGTTTCAAAATCATCGCCTCCGTCCTTTTTGTCACTCTCAGCGCCGGGCCAACCCGAATCATCTTTTCTTTCCGGAGAGCGCTTCGCAGCTGACCAGAAATCATCTTTATCTTTGCTCGATGTTTCTGCAGCTTGCCATCCATCGTTTGATGTGCTGCTTGCGCCTGGCCAAAAATCTCGATTTTCAGACGATGACGGAGGCCATGACGAATCTCCTCCACTGTCCGAAGGACGGCCACGACCTCGACCTCGTCGTTCACCCCGAAAACGACCACGTTCACCGCCACGAAAACGACCGCCTCGTTCACCTCGAAAGCGACCACCACGCTCACCACGACCACCTTCACCTCCACCTCGGTCAAACGGCCTGCCACGAAAGCGTCCAGAATCACCGCCTTGATTCTGTCGACGAGCGAACGAAACACGCAAAGTGATTCCGTTAACCATATTTCCATCCATCTGTAAATAAAAACAGCCACAGGTTGGAAAAATACTCTAGTTCAGTTTTATTCTATGTGTCAGCTATTAACAGATTATTATAAAATTAAAAAATTTTGGAAACTAAACCCATGTGTTTTTTTTTTTTTTTTGAGAAACACTCGTCCAAAAAAAAGCCTGAGGAGTAAGACAGTAAACCAACTCAATAACTGTTTTTGATATCAAAAAGCTCACTTCTTTGAGCGCTGCTTCAGCTTCTTCTGTTGTCGCATACGTAATAAAAGCGCTTCTGAAAAAAACGCACGAAACAGAGCAAAAAACAGTCTATTCCGAAAAAATTTTTGTCTCTTGATGACGAAACCATAGTTTGCCACGCTTGAAAACGAACAGAAGCATGGAAGAATTGGGAGAAATGGTTTATTGTCCTAAAATAATAGTCTTTCTTGAACATTATTCAAGTAAAAACTTCTTTTTAGTAAAATCCAAAAACTTAGACTCGCGCTTGGCCAAAACAAAGTCAAAACTCCTTTCGAATTATATGACAAATTGAAGGATTTGGAAGTATTTCAAGCATAGCAAATGCATGCAATCACTGCTGGCAAGGCTGTCGATGATTGCTCAGAAGAAAGTTGTTTGACTTTACGATACATGCCAGTACCATTTTTTTTACCATTGAAACGAATGAACGAATCCCAAGAAGTGCAAAACGAGGGGAAGCTTCCTCCACTGATTTTCTGCGCTGGTATCCTAATGCGGATGGAATACCTCGGGTTGTAATGGAGCCTCGTTAGCACAACAATACGACTTCAGGCTTACTAGCTTTGCGGAAATTTTAGTTAAAAACAGTAAGCAGTGCTTGAAAACAAATAAGGAACGAACGGCCTCGTTAGCACAACAATACGACTTCAGGCTTACTAGCTTTGCGGAATTTGCACACACACATACTTACATACACACATATACACAGACACTCACACACACATAAACTATACATGCACACACACACACTTATACACACGTATACACAGACACTTCACACACGCACATACATACACAAACACGCACACGCACACACATATATATACACACAGCATTTCATCACTGAAGAAAAAAACTGGCCAATGCACGGGCTGCCCGTGCGAAGATGCGTTTTTTGCAGACTTCGCCGCAGTTTTTGTCGCTACCGGCAAAATTCCAGTCTTCTAGCTCCTCACGTTATCGAGTCAGTAACTTACCCGGAATTTTCACGGGCCTGTACGTAGGTACCGCGCTTACCCGGGGGCTGGATTTGAGCCCATTAGCATCTGCATGGACGGGGAACATTACCCTAAAATTTTAGCTTTTTAGCGTCTCAGAAACCCGAGTCATAAATTTGCGCGGGAAAAATTTTGGGGGCCCGAACGCGGGTACCACGCCTACCCGGGGGCTGGATTTGAGCCCACTAATAGCA